AAGTTCTTAGCCATGCATATTACTAATCAAACATTAAGTTTTGATATATTTACGGTAGGACATTTACAAAATATCTTCATGGAACATGATCTTTACTTAATATCCTAATGATTTTTGACATAAAAAAAAAACGATAATTTTGACCCATACAATGTATTGTTGGCTATTGCTACAAATATACCCCAGCGACTTAAGACTGCTTTTGTGCTCCAGGGTCACATATATTATCATTGTGACTTAAGTAGGGCTGCACAATGAATCATATTTTAATATGATTCTCTCGATTTATTAAGCATGATCGTCTGCGATATTTGCTGACTGGTTATGCATACTGAAAATGCGCTATTTTAATTTGCCGTTTGCGTCATCTTGCAATGGTAACATTTTCTGCCTAGCGGTTTACTTAATCTTCCCAATCTGGCAACCGCACATGCTCTCTCCACATTAGGGAAAAAGCGTAATAAAATGTAAAATGCTCAAATAAAAGTGTAGTACAACAAAAAATAAAAATAACAATAATTGTGATGATATTTTTGAGCAAAATAATCGTGATTAACCATTTATAGACTTAACTTCATGGTCACTGTATGCATACTGTATATGCTCACATTTATAATCACAAACTCACAGTTAAATGTCTCAGTGGATGTACTAGTGATGCATTTATAATGGGACCAGCTGGGGTTCCTGCTAACAAATGCAGTTTTACCCCAGAGCTTTCTAGCACATCCACACACACACACACACACACACGTTTGCACACACATTCACTCACACTGCAGGAGAAATTAAACAGACAGAAATAGCACTGAAAGAAAGAAAGAGAGAGACAGAAGGAGAAGAGAAAGACAGAAATAGCAGAACGGTAAGTTCACCCAAAAATGAAAATTCTGTCATTATTTCCTCACCGTCATGTTGTTCCAAATCCGTACGAGTCGGATCTTTTCAGTGATCCAATTAACAGCGCAGTCTGAGTGATCGGTGCTCGAGTGAAAAAACAGCTCACCGGAGGAGAAGACTGTCAATGAATAATGACTTGTTTCGATCTGTTCATCAAAGTCATACAGGTTTGTAGTGACATGTTGGTTAGTTAATGATGAGAGAACTATTGGCTTTAACCACTCAGACAGAGTCAAACTGTCAAAGCTGATGGACTGTCAGCTGTTTTATGCTGTCCTCTGCTCTTCTCTTCTCTGCAGACAGTCGTGCTTCATTACTTATGGTAGTGCTGGGAGCAAATGCACTGTAGTTTAGAAAGACAGAAACAGTTTGTGTTTTCCCCCCACAGTGTGATTTCACTGGAGAATGAGAATACTCGCTGTTTCAGAGTTAATCTGATACTTTGAAAAGATACTTTGTGGATCTTCATTGCAGCTTTTTTAAAAAGAATAATCTGGATCCTTTAATTCTGTCTAATTTCAGACCTATTTCTAAACTCCCCTTTTTATCTCCCCGCCCCAGACCTGTACGTCATCTTGTGTTTCATACAGTTGACAAACATGATACAGGGCAACAACTCACTGCGTGATGTAGCCTATAAAACGCAGTTATGTGCCCCTAAAATTCAAGATATTGGGGCAAAAAATGCCCCTGTATGAGTTTTTTCTCATATTTATATCATATTTGTCCCGAACAGCATGAGTTCAAATGTGATTTTAAACAACAGTTCAGTAAATAAGTTAATTTTAAATATATGCAAATAATGCAAGAACATATATATTTAGCCTAAATGATTATGTGTAATAAATATTACGTTGAATCAAATAAAATATTTTTTCCTAAAGCTACTTTTTGTAATATCTACTTGATATTTTTCTCATTTAGCACAACAATGGCTTTAAATGATCTTTTGGGGGTAATTTTACAGCCAAATTTAATTTGCGATTAATTAGATTGATTAATCGCTGCATCATGTAATTAATTTGATTACAATTTGAATTGAATAACAGCCATATTTATAATATGTGGAGGCATGACATGCAACCTGTACATGTTGGCATTTGTTTAATTGGACTAGATTCTACCAAGTGACAGAACAAAAACATTTTCTTCTCCTTTTTAAAAGTGTATTTTCATGCATAAGCTATGTATGGCTGAATTGTAGAGTTGCATTTACATTCCCATCTGCCCTGACCTTATCAGAGCAAACCTGCGGCCCATTTTTGCCTATATCTTTCAATAATATGATATTTAAATCTTTAGATGTATGAGCAAAGCTCTTTTCGAAACATATAATGCAATGCAATACAATGATGATTGAGAGATGAAACAAATAAACAGTCCTGATAGATATTTGATACTCACATTTTAACATGATTTTACTAAAAATGTGTGTGGAAGTTAAGCTAAGGGAGTGCTCTTCTTGAAATATTAATATAAAAGTTATTCTTACGTTAACTTTATAAAATGCATTAAAGATTTCACAGCAAAAAGACACATGAATGACCTGAAGAGGGAGCTAAAAGGCCTTCACCTGTTTTCCAGCTCAGTTCTGGGTGAAGTTTTTCAAAGTATGTGGAGAAGTTGTTGTAGTAGTCCATGCAGACTTAGGAAAAGGCTAGAGCTGACAATACTGACAGAAATAAAGCTTCTACAATACCTTAATTCTGCTTTTCTGCTTTCTTGGTGGTCAGTAGTAATTAGAGGGCTTTGTGATGAATATTTATGAGCAGTTATTTCCAGAAAGCTCTACAATGGCTCTTATACTCCCACTCTCTGAAATCTCTGCTTTATGTTTCTGCATGACAGCACAGCTAGCGCTGCATTGGCACTTCTGAAAGCTAAGCAATATTTGTGATGTTCTGTCGAGTTGTCAGATGGTGTTAAGCTCTGTGTGAAAACGCTCTGCTTGAGAAAAGAGCAGGTAAAAAGAGAACATGTTGTAGTTTACTGTACCGCCGTTAACACAGTATTGATGTTGTATTAAACAATTCACATGTACCCTAACCCTCATGTTGTTCTTAACCCATATCATTTTCTTCTTCTGTGGAACACAAAAGAAGACGTTTTGTAAAATGTCCTGGCTGCTCTCTTTCACGTAAAATGAAAGTGAATTGAGCCTGGTGCTGTTGAACTCTGCTAAGGACAAAATGCACTATAAAATGACTCATGTACTATAAAACGAATCAATACAATAGCTTTGTGTGAAGAAGAAGACAACATTTAATCCCGCCCTCCCCCGTAGCTTTCAAATCTCAAAGCATGAAAAGGCAAACACAAGACAACAGAAACAAATGTCATGAGAGAACACAAAGCACGTGGTGCTTCACAAAGTGTTTCATTTCTAAACCAGCATATAAATTTTGTAATGTAAGTTCAGTTTTAATAACAGACGTGTATTATGAAAAACAGAAAGTGATATAGTGCATTGTTTCCAACTGGCGTAGTTAGCCAAATTCTACCTAAAAACATAAAATAAGCTCTACAAATCAATAAAACACCATTTATATTATATTAAACATGAATTATACAGACACTTCATATTTAACCCCGTAAAGCCTGACATGAAATAATAGTCAGAAAAAAATCTTATTTATTTATTGAACCTTTAAAAAAAGAGAACGTTTTATGATAAAATATCTTAGTGGAGGACAAAACATATAATGCAATGCGATACAATGATGATTGAGAGATGAACAAATAAGCGTTCCTCAAAAGCCTGATGTAGATTTGATGTATTCTATTCACATTTTAACATGTCAGTTTCATTTTTTTTTTTACATGATTTGTACATTGCATTTAATAGATTTAATTGACTTCTTGCAGTTGGTTTGTAAATTGTTTTGTACAGGATCATTTTGCAATCGGATCAATTGATTCAAAGTTTTGAAAAGCTCACTTTGTCCAATCACTGTGATGTTTAACTGAATGAATGAGATTGTGCATGCCAACATAAACGGTTGAAACTAATTGTTTAGAAAGCTTTGTTTCCCCCATCACTAAATCAATGCCAGAACAGTGAGAAACACAAGGCATAGATACAAAACATGTGACACAAGACTTAAGAACATGAACTTTCGAAACAAAAGACATACATGAAACCAGTGAAAAAACCCACATTTGAAACAGCCAGAGATTCAGTCACTGACAACTTTCAGCCATAGATGCTATAAAATACCTCTTTTTCAGTTTGCAGCAGAAAGAGAAAATATGCCAAAACCCATAAATTAAGCGTTAGCGTTAGTTCTGGCAGGTCACGTGAGTCAAGCCTGCATCAGCTGATTCTCAGCTGATCACATCTACCTATAGGAATACGACACCTATCGCGGCATTCCTATATAAGCTCTATTCAGTATTATTCAGCAGCTTTTCAGCTTGCTCAGGATGTTCTGTTCTGTTAACCCTAGGGGGTTATTATTGCTGCTCTTCAATTATTATTCATGACAGGCTGCATGGATGTGCAGGGAGGTTTTTGCCCAGAACAGAACCATACAGCCAAACCAAACTTTATGCTAAGTATCTTATCATTTTGACGATAGTGGTCCTGACAGAAACATTGTCTTTGCCGTGGATGAAACTGAAAACAGAACTTATCTGTCATTGGATTAGTTAACGTGGTTACTGCCTGATGTTGATAATCTCAAAATGGCCAAATACCAGATAATCTATTCCTGTGTAAATACATTTCTACTGCCTCGGCGTGCTGCATTTGAAAGCCTGTGTAAACACACTGTATATTAACCATGTGGTTGGGTATTCTGAGGAATAAAGCCTCTCTAGAGAGTCAAATTTCACTTATATAATTTGCACTTAAAATATCATTTGCACATAACATCTTTTGTATCTTAAGTTGTACATCAGTGTTGCCAGATGTTGCCAGAAACTAAAAAAGGAACAAATGGAATTTTTAAATTCAAAAATTCAAATTTTGTGACAGCTGTCAGTTCAAAAGGTTTATTTATGACTGCGCACTGGCAGCTTCTGACAGATGTTGCCTTAATAACTTATTTCCATCTCTCTCTCTCTCTCTCTCTCTCTCGCTCATCAAAGGGCCAAAAGGTACGGACTCGTTGACCAGGTGACCTAGGCTCTATTCATCATTTACATTTATTCATTCAGCAGATGCTTTCATCCAAAGCGACTTACACGTGCAGAATACAACAAAGTGATTCATCACAGTGACTTCTAAACCTGCTGTGAGCTACAAGGTCGTTAATCAGTGGTATATGCTTTTGTTGAAGCCATTCGTTTGCATTATTTCAACACCAGTGGAATTTGTGGCTAAAAACTACATTACCCAATATGCTGTGCAGAAAACTCGACCAATCAGAAAGTCGCAGTGAGCAAATTGTGCTTTTTGTGTGAATTTTATAATCATGTTTAATTTGATTGTTATTTGCAATGCTTTATGGGAGGCCTGTTAAGGCCTGTTCACACCAAGAACGACAACTATCAAGATATATATAATGATAATTATGCATCCACATCGACACACAATAAAGTTCTGTTCATTCGAAACACATGCTGCAGTTTTGTCGTCTGCACATTAAATGCTTGAGCTCTTTAAAGGCATAGTTCTCCTTAAAAAATGAAAGTTCTGTCATCATTTCCCCACCCTCCACTTGTTCCAAACCTGTACGAGTTTCTTTTCTTCTGTTGAGCACAAAAGAAGATGCTTTGAAGAATGTTGGGAACCGAACAGTTGATGGTAGCCATTGACTTCCATAGCAATTTTTTTTTCCCCCCCATACTGTGGAAGTCAATGGCTGCTATGAACTGTTTTGTCAGAAAAGCATCCAAAGTGCATCTTTTTCAAATAACGAAGAACTGAAAGCTCTGTTTATGAAGAGATATGCCACCCCTGTCGTTTCTGTCTCAGGGCTAGGCTTTAGTATAGCGGGTGGTGTGGGGAACCAGCACATCCCTGGAGACAACAGCATTTATGTCACAAAGATCATCGAGGGAGGAGCGGCTCATAAGGACGGGCGACTACAGATCGGTGATAAGATACTGGCGGTAAGACGACACATGTACATCATTGCTGAGGACTGACATGTGTAAAGATAGACTGTATTAGACACTTCAATGCCGCCACCTGCTGCTCACAGGAGGAACTACAGGCATTTATCTGATTTAGCCTTCACTTTGATTTACATGCATCCCTGAAAATGTTCTATTTTATTTGTTGCCACTAGTGATGCAGAAATTGCACACTGCAACTTTAAACACAGCTTTAAAGCATAAAGTAACTGTCCATAAAGCACAGTTCTTACATTTCTGCTTTTAACTTGGCATGGAAAAAGAAGTGCACTTTGATGCCCTTTGTGGACTTAACTTTAGTACGTCTTTATATGTAATTTCATAATTAATTCTATTGTCTTTGCAGCTGAATGTACTGACAGACATTTATGGGAAACTAAAATATGCTTTAAAGTCCATGTATTTAAACATATTTGGAGCTATACATTTGTAATGGTGAAGTTGCAATTTAGCAGTGTTATTTTATTAGGTACTATTATAGTTTTTATTAATACTTTGATAAGTTTTATATTTGCTGTTTTTATTTTAATTTGTTAAAGTTTTGTTAATTTTATTGTGTGTTTTTGTCATTTTTAATAGTTTTTTTTTTTTTTTATGTCTATATTTGGTTCGGTTTTAGTTATTTTACTACATCCAGTTAAACTTTTATTTTATTTCAGTTATATTTTATTTCGGTTATTGCTTATATTAAGTAACAAACATGTTTTTAATGGTTTTAGTTTTAGTTTCAATTTTAGGTTTAGTTAACTATAATAACACTGCACTTTGGTACATTTTAAATATATTAACTTTAAATGCAATGTTAAAAAAATAACACACTACAGTTAAAATAATAGTCAGGTATTTACATGTACATCAAAATAAGTGCGCACTTTAAAACACAGCAAAAGATAATTTAAAACATAATGATATAGAATGCACTTTCAATTAAAACTTTTCGTTTGACATCACATAGTGCACTTTTTAAAAATGCACTTAAGTGTGTTAAGAAGCATAGTCATGAAAGTGAACTTCAGTGGCATTTTTACTTCATTAATCTTATATTATCTGCAAGTCAAGTTTTTTTAAGTTATTCTTTTAAGATCTCAGTACACTACAAGTGCACAAGTGCATTTGTTTTTCACGAGGGACATGCGTCCCATAACGTCAGTCTCTGCATCTGCAGGTGAATAATGTGTGTTTGGAGGACGTGATGCATGAGGACGCGGTGGGCACGCTGAAGAACACAGCAGAGGTGGTCTACCTCAGAGTGGCCAAGCCAAACAACCTGTACCTTACCAACAACTACAACCCACCAGACCTCACGAGCAGTGAGTACACAGCACTCAGAGGCGCTGCTTCACAGATAGAACACAAGACAAACTCTTGAATAACTCTCAAGACTCGATGGCAGTCCTCACTAAATCCAGCTTTCCCTTCAGCGTACTCTCCGCATCTGGACATGGACCTCGGACATCCAAACTTCCTGGCCTCGGATTACCCACAAGCACTCACTCCCACCTCACCAAGCCGCTTTTCTCCAGTGCTGCATGGCTTGATGGGAGATGATGACTTACCCAGGTAATGAAGCTCATGATTCAGCAGTTCCTGCACAGTCCATGGGTTCTAATGTAAAGGAGCTCCCATCACCTTACATCAGTGTTATTCTAGTATCGTTGAGATTCTAAATTAGTATAGTTTTTATTGACATTTTGAATTACCTTTATTTTTATATTTTCTGTTTTCATTTTCATTTTGATTGTAGTTCATTTTAGTAATTTTGTTTGTTTGTATCATTTTTCAATATATATATATATATATAACTGTATATGTCTGTATAGTTTTTTAACTTTATATTTTTATTTTATTTTAGTAATTTTGTTTGTTTTTATCATTTTCAGTATATACATATATATATATATATTTAGTTTTTTCTTTCAAGTTAAACTAAATGAAGATGAGAAATGTTGCTTTGTCAACTAGATTTTTTTTATTATTATTTAAATTTATTCCGTTCATATTTATTTCATTTAAAGTTATCATTTGTTTTAATTTGTTTTAGTCTTAGTTATCAATGATAACCCTGCCTTTGGTAAATATAATAAATATTAATTGGCAGCTGAGATTAATAACTGAATTTTAGATTGAAGTCACACCTATGATGCAAACAGCAGCAGACAGAAATTGTATTTTCATATTGTTTTGATCAGAGCTTTGTTTTAAATCTTATGGATTCAATATTTGGAATTTATTCGCTAAACAAAACTGATTCAGAGGCATTTTATATTTCTTATTAGTTATTCAAATAAGCTTAGTATGGAAAAGGGGTTCATTATATTTATTTATGATCGAAAGTAAGTCGATAAATCCTTCAATTTTTTTAGAGTCTATTGAAATCATTTCTGCAGATTTCTACAGATTTTCTCCATAATTAGAGCAGAAAATGCAAAAACCTTATACAAAGGTTTTATACAAAAACCTAAAAACATACAAAAACCTTAGTGATTGACACCAAAACTATATACGTTTTATATTTCACAAAATCTCCACAATGTTTGCAAACTAAATTTAGCACCAACTGGTTACACATATTTATCATTTCATATTTAGTTAGGCGTTCTTTGTTGCTCTCAGAAGTATGGAAGCTTGTTTCCTCCACAGAATAAAAAATATAAAAAGGTAATTGCAATTGCAAGTTTATATCTTGCAATTCTGACTTTCGTGATGTTAACTCGCAAATGTGAGTTATAAAGTCGGAATTGCATGAAATAAACTTGCAATTGTAAGAAAATATCAGAATTGTGAGCTGACTTTTTTCCATCAGAATTGGACTTTATAAAAGTCAGAATTGCAAGTTCATTTTTCACAATTGTGACTTTATTTCTCGCAATTGCGAGTTTATATCAGAATTGTGAAACAAAAAGTTGCAATTATTTATTTATTTTAATTCCGTAACGGAAAAGTGATTACTGTCAACCAGCATTGTTTTTTTTTTACTGAAACATTAAATAGAGCTAAATCTTAACTGGTTGATCATTTATGTCATTGACATATATTATCATATCGCTGAGCCACTATAAGACTTTATAGAAATAACAATATGTGAGCCTGGAGCACAAAAGCAGTGTTAAGTCGCTGGGGGATATTTGTAGCAATAGACAACAATACATTGTATGGGTCAAAATTATAGATTTTTCTTTTATGCCAAAAATCATTAGGATATTAAGTAAAGATCATGTTCCATGAAGATATTTTGCAAATTTCCTACCGTAAATATATTAAAACTTCATGTTTTGATTAGTAATATGCCTTGCTAAGAACTTCATTTGGACAACTTTAAAGGTGATTTTCTCAATATTTAGTTTTTTTTGCACCCTCAGATTCCAGATTTTCAAATAGTTGTATCTCGACCAAATATTGTCCTATCCTAACAATCCATACATCAATGGAAAACTTACTCATTCAGCTTTCAGATGATGTATAAATCTCAATTTCGAAAAATTGACACTTAAGACTGGTTTTGTGATCCAGGGTCACATATGGTTTTCACAGTAAAGCTGTTTTGTAAAGCACTATACTTGATTTAATGAAACAGCATGCTTTAGCTAAACCAGCTGTGTTTCTACAGCAACAATAGTTAAAAAGAAGTGCATAAATGAAAAAAAATGTTAGCTTGCAAGCATAAGTGCACAGTGAATCACTCTGTGCATATCTGACTGACAGCACTGCGCCGCTGTTTCAGGGTCAGTCATATATGAAATAATGTGTATTTTACTGGAAACGATTTTTAGTATCATCCTGGAATTCTTTTGTAATTTATCTCTGCCTTCTGTCATTTCTTTGCTCTGTCTTGTGTGTCTCAGGGACCCGAGGCGTGTTGTGATCCACAGAGGATCGACGGGTTTGGGGTTTAATATAGTTGGAGGGGAGGATGGTGAGGGAATATTCATCTCTTTCATCCTGGCAGGAGGCCCTGCGGACCTGAGTGGAGAACTGCGCAAAGGAGATCAGATCTTGAGTGTGAGAGCATGCAAACACATACACGTGTACTCACGTATGAAAAGCATTACCGCAGTTTGAAATGAAAGGCTCTGTTTTCACACCGTGTGTGAATCAAATCACATGTTTTGAACCTATAATTACAGTATGATGTCCCTGACAACTCCATTTAATACCAGCCATGATGTTGGTCAGTAGATCAGTATGTTTAATTAGTAATGCATATTGTATGTTTTAATGGAGACTCCATCCCATTAGTCCTGACCAGCATTTTTGTCCATAGATCTATACCTGACAGTCAAAGACAAAGTGCAAAGTATAAGACACAAACGGTCTTTGCACGAAAATAAAAAACAGAAAATCCAAGAAAAATCCAAAACATCTATATTGTGCTTCGAGTATGCTGATAACTATTTGGTTTAAGGAATTTCTCGCTTTTAAGGATGTGTGACCAAACCATGCGACCAAAGAAAAGGACAAAACTGATTCAATAAAAGCATGATAAAACACGATCATTAGCGTTCGGTCGATATGAAAGTGTGATAATTTCCTTAAACGATACAAGCGCCGTTGACCTTTTTTTTTACACACAGCTGCACAAGTTCAATTTTGCATCAATAATAGTCCCAAGGTGTTTATAGGATTGCACATACTCAATGGTCTGACCTTTAATTAAAGTAGCTTTATTCATACGAGTGATCCTCCTAAAGTCAATGAGCATATCTTTAGTTTTTGATATATTACGCCGGAGGTAAGATTCCTCACTCATCAATAACTGGGCCGTGGCTGATCTCATTCTCCTGCAGCAGACTTGACGATAACCGAATCATCTGCATATTGTCATAGCTGCTCTGACACATATTTGTGCGAAGAATAAACAATAAAGGTGACAACACACACCCTTGAGGAGACCCTGTAGAAGAGCTTTTCTGGTCAGACAAAATACCATTGTCCCTTACGCTCTGTGTCCTATTTGTTAAAAAGTTAAGAATCCAACCTACCAGATTATTACTTACCTCAGACTGTTCTAAGAGCCTTCTGGTCAAAATGTGGGGTTGGATTGTGTTAAAAGCCGAGGAGAAGTCTATAAATAAAAGTCTGGCGTGTGTCCCATTCCCATCCAAATGTCTAAAAAGCAAATGACCGTAGCATCCTCCACTCCTCTATGAGGCCTATGCGCAAATTGCATTGGATCCAGAGCACGTTCAGTCTGCCTCAAGATCTCAGACCTGACCAGTTTCTCAAAAATCTTCATTAAAACTGAAGTCAGAGCAACCGACCTGAAATCATTAATGGTTTTAGGACCTCTAGGTTTAGGAACTGGGGCAACCACAGCATCTTTCCAGAGGTTAGGTACATGTTGTGTCTGTAATGACTTATTATAAATATCGTGAAATACAGGACTTAAGTCTTTTGCACATGATTTAAGTGATCGACCACAGACATGATCAGGGCCAGGGCTTTTGTTCACCTTTACTGAATTGAAAGCCATCCTGAAGATCAATGTTGAAAGGCTGATTATCCATAAGTTTAAGACTCAATACCTGAATGTCTTTGCTAAAATCAAAATGATCAAAACGACAATAAAAACGATTTGCAAATTCAATATCCGAGTTAAAACCATCTAACATAACAGGAGTACTGCTGTTTGAATTGTGAAGACCTGCTCTGGTTTTCATTCTCGCCCAGGCCGAACCAGTTACTCTTATGTCCTTAATCTTTGCTTTCTCTCTCTTTAAGACAATCTTACATATGGGCGGTAAATAAATGCAACTATGATCAGCAGAGCCCAAAGGAGGAAGCGGGAGAGATTTATAAGCGTCCTTTACTGACCTATAACAGAGATCTAGTGTCTTACCCCGTCTGGTTGGACAGGAGACATACTGCTGGAAAGTTTTAAGTGTGTTTGAGAGAAACCTGGTCAAAGTCGCCAAGAATAAAGTGAGGTGCATCCGGTGAGATCGACTGCAGTTTCTGCACTACATCAAAGATTGTGCTAGAGGCAGAGACAGAATCCGCCTTCGGGTGAATGTACACTGTTGTGATGAAAAGTTGAGGAAACTCACGGGGTAAATAAAAAGGACGCAGTGACACAGCTAAAAGTTCCACATCAGGCGTACAAATACGCTCTCTGACAGTCACAGAGGTACGGTTTCGTTTGTTGACATATACACATACCCCGCCTCCATGAGTTTCCCCCGTTACCTCTGCTAGCCGACCATTACGAAAAAGAAGTTTATTCAAGTGTGCTATTAGTATACTTCTTTTAAACTAAAAATAGGAAAGTATACTTTTAGTCTTACTTCTCAGAAATGGGCTCTATGTACTTCTCAGAAATATACTTAAAATGACATTTAATCAAAGAAAACTTACGAGTATACTTAATTAGTAGTTTACTGAGACTATACTTCAGTGTACTAAAAATGCAATTTTTTGATGGTATTTAATTAGTAAACTATCGATATACCTATAAGTTCACTTTTAGTATAGTTGCAGTACAAACTAAAAACATAGATGTAAGCTAGTTGTGTACTCAAAGTTTACTACTGTTATACTTAAAAGTATACTTTTATATACTGGAAAGTGGGCCAATTTAGTCCCAAGGAGTATTGAAATAGTACACTTACAAGTATACTACTAGTACACTGATTTGTGTATACTTACTACATAAAGTTCATAAACTTGAACTTTACTTAAGTATACTTAAAATAAACTTGAAGTATACTACTTTTTGGTAAGGGGATCCAGATGATATTGAGCTCCAAAGCTGTCAATGGAGAGGTCGGTGTCCCGTTCACACTCAGTGAGCCACGTTTCAGTAAATGCCATGATGCAGCAGTTCCTAAAA